GCTGAACACAGCCATTCTGGCTAGTGAAATAAATGATTTAAAGATATACTGCTTCTCATATAACTGATCTTCAAATGTATCGGAGAACCAGTCTTCGGACCTTAGCGAAATATCCTTCCCCTACTGGAAATGTTTTGCCCCACATCCTCCAGTGAAATTTTAAATGTTGCCTCTTGCATGATCAGCCACACACGGTGTGCAAAAGTAGGCAGAAACTTGTATTTACGCCAACATTTCCAATATTTGGCTCATTGCTGATTTTGCTCTAAAACGCACCCCCACCCCACCCCAAGAGATACTAATTTTAAGAATTTAAATAACTCTTACCTTCTTGTAGAGACTTCTCAGGTCTCTGTACTGCCACATGCTATTTAAGACCTGAGATGCTGCCTTCACTACTTTTGGTGAGTGCCTGTTGAAGACAAAAGAAAGAAAAGGGAAGAGGAAACATACTTAGGAGTAACTGGAATCTCAAGGAAGCAGTTGATAATCGTAAATTCAGTCAGCACTTTATGAGAGGTATGGTGGACTTGGGTCTTTCAAATTTCATCTGAAAATGACCTACGCTCTTCCATTACTGGGATTTGTACCTGACTCCAGTAACCTGGCATAAGCCTCTTTTCTCTTTTATAATCTATGGTGGGAATGCGCTCTTGAGAAACAACAACAACTGCAATTAATTGAGAATGTACTTTCTTAACAATAAATTTGTTCCCATACTAGCAATTATAATCACTTCATGTAATACTAGCGAGTGCAGATATAGGCTAAACTATAAGCTACTCTTGATAAATAACATGCCTCAGATGACAATAGTCAGCTGCTTTGATATGAAATTATCCACCTACTACCCCCCCACCTTTCCCTCATCAACTGTCAAGCTTACTAACACATGATAAACGACAGTTCTCCAGGAAATCATTAGTGCAGACAAGCACTAATTAAATTATAGCTAATAGGCACGAGATGATTTGCAAAACGTACTTGTCTCCTTTACTCTTGGAAATGCCAACAAGCTTCTCGATTCCTCCTGCGTCCCGTAAGGCCTTGGCATTCTCCATGTTTTTCGTGATGACTTCATGCAAGGTGCAACAAATAGCAGTGACGGTATCATCAGACATGGCCTTGCTTCCTGAACTGTTGCTGTTGTTACCTCCTGGAAGCCGGTGAACCAGGTCCCGCATAGCATACTTGCCTTTTGGAAAGAAATTAAATGGAGGGAGGAGTCACATATTGGAAGCAAAGAAAGGAGGGGCAAATAGAAAAGAAAATCTGCAGTACAGGGTAAGGGTTAATAATTCCATGACTTCTCCTGAGCTATGTGCTTTGCCTTGCAAGCTAGTGTGAGTTCAGGTGACTCCCCCCCGTATCTATATTATCAGCTGTTAGCTACCATATTTTAGCCTATATGCTCATTAGTCCTGCAAATCCCATTCACACACAATATATTGATATATACAATGGATGGAGGAGGGCTAGCCCCCTATGGATGAGGCTACATGAGCCATTTTGTGCAGGAGTCACACACAATATGTCATCAAAGTGTTAAAAACAACAACACAGTTTTAAAAACCACAAAGTAATAGTAGGGTGAGAGAGAGGGACAGCGTAGGTCACATGACAGACAATATCCTCAGAACTATATCTCACACATCACAAAGCGATGAATATGCCGTCTGTGGAAATAATTGCTTTCCCCCAGTTATGAAATACAGATTATCCAGGGTTGGGAAAATGAAATATTTATTTTACTTCAAATATTTATAAGCCACAGATTCCTATCGCAGGCATCAGAGGCAGCGGCATACCAATTTATCCCTGCAGCAGAAGTACACTTTTGAAAGACTACATCTGAAGTGCATGAAACAGACTGTGACTCGTAATAAACCAAACAATATTACTAAAAACAGATAATCTGTTAAACCCCGTTTCAAGAAATGCCCCCTACAGTATTCACACATTTATTACAATTATATACTACCTTTCTGCCAATATACTCCTGTTGCCTTACAATTTGAAATGCTAAAGCAATATATATATATATATATACATACACACACACACACACACACACACACACACACACACACAAAACACACCAAAGGCAAAACAGTAACAAAAAGGAATTATTGAAGGAACTTTCCAGGGGCTGATGGTTTAACCTGGGTTTATCCAATATTTCTGTCCCTTTAGAATATGCAATCTGTAGCCCCTAGAAAGGCAAGAATGGATTCCACAGCTGGTAGCTCTCCGTACCACTATCCTAGCACTTTTTAGCGGTAAAAAAAAATATTTTAAAAGCTATGGCTTGATCCAGCACTGGCTATTTGCAATTGGTCTTATGCAGCAATGAGCAAGCTCAGATGGAGATACACATCCATTTTAAATATTTATCCCAACAGTTCAGTTGGTCTTGAATTATAATTGCAAGGCAGATGTGGTCTGATGTCTGTCTTTATGCTCATCTGCAGTACAAGTGGGAGCCTGCTTCTGCATATGGGTCTTCCTTGCTGGACTGGGGCAGATATGGGAAAGGAGCACAATTAATTTAGCATGTGGGAGATTCCAAACATGTTTTGCTTTGGCTAGTGCAGAGCTTAATTGTGTGCCGTGACACGCCAGTGTGTGGGCTGCAGTGTGTAGGTGTGTCATGCGAACACCTCCCCAAAGAAGGAATGAAGGGCTGAGGGGTGAGAGAAACTACCTTAGGAGGAAAGCTGGTTTTAGCAGGGACATAGTGCACAGAACTTGTGTGTGGTTCTGTCCACTGGAGATATTGTAAAACCTTGATATAGGGAGGATTCCAAGATTAGATGAACTGTAATCTCAGTCCTCATGAGAAGAGAAGACTCCCTGGAAAAGACCCTGATGTTGGGAAAGATGGAGGGCACAAGGAGAAGGGGACGACAGAGGACGAGATGGTTGGACAGTGTTCTCGAACCTACCAACGTGAGTTTGACCAAGCTGCGGGAGGCAGTGGAAGACAGGAGTGCCTGGCATGCTCTGGTCCATGGGCTCATGAAGAGTCGGACACAACTAAATGACTAAACAACAACATCTCAGTCCTGAGTGCTGAGCTCACCAGGAACATGTGAAGATATAAGAGACTTCTTGCCATTCTGGGGGTCCTGGGTCATAAGGTTTAGAGAAGCTCAAAACTGCTTTAAGCAATGACGAAGGAACAGATTTCCTTAAGTTTGTGAAACTGCAGTAGAGTTACATTGGAGAAATTACGTAAGCTAACACATGACCTCTATTCAGTAAGAGGAATTGGGATTAAAAATGGCCACTGCAGAAGAGGGTCACATTGCATCCTGGACGTAAGGATCATACACTGGAATCTTGCACAGCCAAGCAAATAATCTGTATTATCAGGTCTGACAAACTGTGGCTGGATGATGACATGACTGGGAGGGAGGGGACTCAGACATCGCCTTCATCGTTCTTTCCCCTGATGGACCGTATTTTTCCGTCAAGAGCTGACAGCACTGTTTGTTATTTTGGCCAAGCAGGGATGGGTATTGAGCACTGCATGAATCAAAGCCATAGTTAATTTTAAGGTAAATATTCCTGTCCTCTGCAAACAAATGCATACTTTCAGCAATTTAGGGCCCGATGACTCAAGACATTCCAGAAGGATTTGTTTAAATTTAAGTCTGGGTGACATTCAGGAAAACTCCTTTATCTGCATAGGTTTAATGGGAAAAAAGCAAGGAGGAATTAGAAATGTAACCCCAGAGTAGCATTTACAGGACAGAATGCAGTTGGAGAGATGAGGATTTCTGATGTTAGAAAATGAAGTTATCCAACACTACCATTATTTCACTGTATTTCGGGGGGGGGGGGGTGTCAGCATCAGCCTTGTATTGTCCCTCAGTTCTTGTTTCTTAAGTCACTAAAATCTGTTGCACTTTGTAGGAAAAGGTGAACAAAAAGTAATTGCATGTATGGATTAGAATCTGCAGTACATTTTCCAGGACACCGTCTCTCCCACGGCTATCAAGTTCTGCTACCCACTCACCCATATTATAACTTTTTTAAAAAAAGCAAGAACTGAAGGTGACACTGACTTACAGCTGCCTTTGGGAGAAGAATACTAGAGAAAAGTTCTATTTCTTGTTAAAGGGGAGGGGGACAAGTTGGCAGTTTTTACAAATTATGGTCCAACTAGAAAATAAGTGACCTTTAGACTACAAGTGTCTGCTGGATCAGGCCAATGGCCCATCGAGTCCAGCATTCTGATCTCACACTACCAGCCAGCCAGATGTCAGTGGGAAGTCCCAAAGCAGCAATTGGGCACAGCGGCACTCTCACCCCTGGTGATTCACAGGAGCTGGGATTCAAAGGCTTCAGACAGGGAAGGTAGAACCCAGCCATCCTAGTTAGTAGGCATTGATGACGTCATCCTTCATGAATCTGTCTAAATCCTCTTTTTAAAGCTACCCAAGGTGGTGGTCATCACTGCCTCCTGATGGAGCCAATTCCATAGTTTGACTGCCGTATTTTTCGCTCTATAAGATGCAAATGTTCTCTCTCTCTCTGCGCAGCACCTCTCCAGCAAAGCGGGAGGAGAAATGGAAGGGGCTCCGTTTCTCCTGCCGCTTGGCTGAAGGGGCGCTGTGCAGCTTGCCGGGATCTCCGCTCGGCCAAGCTGATAAAGCTCATTTTCTTCCCCTGAGTCTTCGGAATCGCCTCCCGACGTGTTTAATGACCTGAGCCTTTGATAAGGCTCCAAGGCACATTCTCCAGCAGAGTTTCCAGCACAGGAAAGAGACGAGAGGTTTGGGCTACATTGTAAAGAGTTTATTTCTAAGCTATGGAGACAGAAAAGACATCCTCTCTCTATGAAAGCAGAGAGCAACTGAACAAAGGAACAAAGGAAACAGGAAACCACTAATGTCACATCCCGTCTCCTTTCCCGTGAGACTGGAAGGTCTCTGGAATGTGAACAGAGTCCTGTGACTCCATGCAGCTGCTTAGTGGGAAACAGAACCTAACACAGCTTTCCCTCTCTGCTCAGCGCCCCTTCAGTAAAGCGGCAGGAGAAGCGGAGCCCCTTCCATTTCTCCTCCTGCTTTGCGGAAGGGGTGCTGTGCAGAGAGGGAAAGCTGCACAGCGGCCCTCCAGCGAAGCGAAGCCAGGAGAGCAAGAGGGATTGATCCCTCTTGCTCTCCTGGTTTCAGCGAAAGCTGCGCAGCCTGCATTCGCTCCGTAAGACGCACACACATTTCCCCTTACTTTTTAGAGGGGAAAAGTGCATCTTATAGAGCAAAAATACGGTATTTGCTTCATGAAGAAGTACTTTTCGTGCATTACATGCAAGGGGAAATAGAGAATGAATGAATGAATGAATAGGAAATATGTGAAAGGGCCATAGATACAGAGAAGCTATTACATACCAAAAAAACAAAACCCTGTGCTTTTACAAGGCTCTCTGCTTGCCTTATCAAAGTGCCTACTAGCGTTCTCAAAGCTAAGTTGGCTACAATACTAGTAGCATAAATTCTGCAATATAATTCTTTTTTTCTAAAACCTAGCACCATCTTGCTGATCGATCCTTGCTTGTGTCTATAGAATGCTTCCTTATTCTAGTTCAAAATAATAATGACTTTTCAGAGCCTGATTGGGAATGCACAGTATTTTAAATGGCTTTTGCTTTTAATTATTGGTACGGTCATAATGTAGGAAAGCCACCCCCCCCCCAAATGGTTCTTGATCAGACAACATTTAATTTCAACTGAAATGTCAGTGTAGCAAACAATGTTTTAAATGCACTGTAATTTCCAACCAGCTTCTTCTTTGTTCTATTTTGGCTGGTTAAAAGCCCACAAAAAATATAGTGCAGAAGGCCTTTATTATCTCTCCCAGTACATCTCTCTCTCTTTCTAGATACAATCTGTATTATGGTTACAAATTGAGGCTATGAAGAAAGATCACAGACCCATTTCGGCTCTGCAGATGTGTCAACAGGTGGGAAGAAAAGGTATCGCAAAATCGTTATGTTCGTATCAGAGTCAGTGACCTCCAGACACTAATTATCTAGCTAGTATTGAATGTTTTGTATGGATCAGGGTATACCGGTGATTCCTGATGTGCATTTGAAATACAATAATGCATAAGTTCTAAAGAAATGTGAAGCAGCTCTTCTGCTATATATGAGGCAACCAGGGAGAAATCACAAAGTTGGCTGAGGTTCTAGGTAAGAGGACAGAGGCTGGGGGGGGGGGAGAGAGAGCAGCAAATAATGTTTTAGGTAACATGAAGGGGATTCATAAATGGGCTCAAACAGCAACTAAGTGGTTTTACTCTTAAAATGTGGACACAGTTCTAATGAATTATATCTTTGGTTTCAGAGGTAAACTTGCTATTCTGGTAATGTGGGATTGATGTGGCTCTTTTTTCTACACTGTGAATAAATGCAGGTGATATTGCAATATAGAAACATTATGGGCATTCTATTTGTATGGGCTTCTGTGAACCTTTTCTTCTCAATCTGTCGCATTTTTCAATAATCTCAACAGAGAATCAATTTAAAAACAAATAACTGGTTGAATGCTACAAGAGCTGATAGCAACATGATTAGGTAAAATTCCCCAAAGTTTCATGACTTAATATGTTGATCTAGCTTGTCTTGTCATATCCTGACCTTGACACGAGTCCCATGAAAAAGAAAGGCATGCTGGTAGTTTCAGCACCATGGAAAGCTCTAAGCGAACCACTTGATCTGACAAAGATTGGGGCTGGATTGAAGTCTTTAACTGGATGGAAGATTTGTACATTTCCTTCCCACCAAAGATTGCTTGCTTGAAAGAAACACCTATCATATTGAATTGCACTTAATTTCCATGCAGGTTAGCTAAGGATTGTGGTCCTTAGACCTACTTGGTGACAAAATACCTTCAGTAAATCTGTCTGGTACAAATCAAAGAGAGTTTTTTAAAAATATGTCAAGGGCCACTGGATGATTTCACAAGCATCATTGAGCATCACAATTCCACTGACCAACTTCCAGCATTTTATCAAAAAATAAATGCATTCCCTGAAGTACAGGGAGAAGCTTCAATCTCCAACAGCTTCTGTAGATGTGCCACAGAGAGCCTATTATCTCATGAACTTCTCAGGCAGCTGCAGATTTAAATCAATCCATGCCTATTTTTGGCCACAGTGTGATGCGATGAGCTAGTTGAGGGCATGCTGATGCCACATGCAGTACTCTCTGTGGGCTTTTAGCATGGCACTACTAATTCTCCAGAAACTACTCTTGCAGTAGCATGGAAAAAGCCAATTGGCTTTGAGTTCTGCACATGGCACCGCAACAGCTGCAGCTGGTAATCGGCACAAACTAAATGAAAATATATCTGTCACATGCTGAGAAGGGCAAGAGAGGAAGCCTTGCGCCTGCAACATCCACAGACTGATTAAACAGAGCTGAAAAGCTTCAATCTCTGCAGCATTATGTCAGAAGTGGGTAAAAATTTACAAGTGTTTGCCAGTACATGGGCTATTTAGCAGCAGGCAGAACGTGGGGCAGTAATGGGACTTCCTTAAACCAAAGAGAGTGGCTGGTGGCCTTATGGTCTTTTCGGATGATGGGGATTCTGAAGAAGCAGGGGACATCAAGAACCACTTCAGAAATGAAATCATCTTCCTTGCCTGGGGCAGACTGATCTGAGCCCTGGGTCATGACACAACCCTAATGTTATAGTAAGAGATTAAAAGCTTCCTGCTTTTTAAAAACATATGTTTTGGCATGTACGAATTCCCAATTCACAGAGGAGGAAACATGAAAAAAGCTTATAATAAGATGAAAACATTTGCTTATAAAAGCAAATCTCAATGCAGAAATATCTTTTTAAGCCAAGCCTCTGAAGACTTGGGGAGGGAAGGTGGGAGCGGGTTACAAGATAAGGCCATGGTATAGTGATCACACATTTCTTAATTTGCTTCCATGGAAATTATGCGTGGGACCATTAGCATGATTAATTTGTCTTTGGTGGAAAACAACTGTGCACGGAGACCACGTTGCAGTTTTATGCTGCTTGGCTGCCTTGCATAAATTAAAATCAAAACCATTTAGGGCTTGATACAGTCCTAGTACAGGTGGTGTACTCCTGGAGGAGTTCCTTGGGACTCAGTAAAATCTTGCTTTCCTCAGCCCTCTGCTGATGGATTGCATGCTGAATGCCCAGATAACGGAAGGGATGGGAAGCCCATGTAGACCTCCTCCATCCTGCACAATTTAAAGATTTCATTTAGGTAATCTCCCTCGTATACAGATATCCTGAAAATGGAAAAGGCTTTTGACAGGTTAATGTAATGACACCTACAGTTAGTGTTTTGCTAAAGAATATAGGTTGGTGATTCATTTTCCCTAACGGACCAGCCAACACTGCCTAAGGATCTGTATTAGGACTGGTGTAATTTAACTTACTCATAAAAGAATCTGATGTCAGGGCTGAGCCGTGTTTGTGGATGGCACCTAATTTTCCAGGATGCTGAACACCCAAGCAGGCTGGGAAGGGCCCCCAAACCAACTCTTCAAAGTGGGGGAATGCAGCCAAGGCAGCACAAAACTGAGAAGCTCCATAATTGAGAAGCTCCATTTGGGGGCGCTAAATTTTGGCCTTGCACAGGGCTCCATATGACAAGTCCACCCTTGGGAAATGGCAATCAAGCAAACAGCAATAAAGTAGCAACTGAGAATTAGTGTAAGTGCTATGCTATGCATACATTTTGTGTTTGTGTGCTAACTTCCCATATGCAACTCTGAATGGGTTGTGACTGCCCTGGAAAAATGTCTTAGACTATGGTGGACAACTCCCTGTAAATGCCAACTTGTTATACATGGGTGTGTGTGTGTGTGTGTGTGAGCAAATCCAATGTTATTTGAAGGGAGATGGGGAGCGAAACAGCCTATCTCATAATGCCAAGTGATGATGAAGCAACATTTGGAATATTGCATACAGGTCTGGAAAAGGTACAGGAAAGCACAACTAAAGCGATTCAATGGGTTGGAGTAACTTCCTTGCAAGGCAGGACTTTTAATTTTTCTTGAAGGGCTATGATAATAGGGCTATAAAATTATGAATCATTTGAGAATGTCAGAGAGATCGCCCTTCTCCAATCAAGCTGATGAGCCGCAGGTTCAGAAAAAAACAAAAGGAAGGCCTGCATAAAAATTTAACTAAGGGCTTACCCAGACTTCCATAAAAACCCACTCTTTACAGCTGAATTGGAGAAAATAGCAATCTGCCACTTCAGGAAAACCTGAATTGCTGTTTGTTCCGATTCTGTTTTAAAGAGTGGGGTTTCCTGGGGAGAGCAGCGGGGAAAACAAAGAAAGCGCTCAGACGCAGAACTTTAAAGTGCAGAGCTGTGCCTAGAAAGCACAGGGCAAAAGTTAAGCATGGATAAGTCCTGATGTTATGGAATTGAGCATGGCCACTAGATTTAGATGCCCTTAAAAAACAAATCCCACAGGGTTCCTAAGTGGACACATCTAAAAATATATTTGGGAACTCCTTACTGATAGTATTTGGACAGTAATTACTTATGACTTGGTATTGAAATAAATGTTATAATAATAAAATAAGGCATGGGGAACAAGAAATGCCTAATTATAATGTGGAGCAGATCAAAAACTAAGCTAATCTCCCATTCTTAATCAATTTTCTCCCTCTCATTTGAAGTGTGAACTCAAGGTGCAGTTCTTTTTCTCTCTCTCTCCCTGTAATCATTTTTCCTTTGCCTTTGAAGTTTATGGAAGCTGAGGGCAGCTTATCAGAGAAGTCCTGGTGAATGTGAGATGCTTAGACTGGGGGGTGGATGCGGGGAGTGAATAAGAGGAATTTCAATATCCCTAGGAAGAGGCTGAGCTCTTTAGTAAAAAAAAAAAAAAAGGAAAGCAAATACCTATTCAGTCCCACAGCAACAGAAAGCATTTCACTACAGTGGATAAAGTACTGAAATCCATCCTTAGAACCATCATCTCAAAAGGCTTTGCTTAAGATGTACTTTGTACTTCGGATTCTTAGTGACTCACAAGAGAGACAGAGATATCCCACCCACCCCTCCTGCCCCCCTTGGAACTCTGTATAACATATGATAATA